TAAGAAAATTTTAATAATATATTTTAAAAACTTTATTAAATAAACTTGTTTTTTATATTCTTAAATATATTAATATAGATTTTTATTTTATTTTATTAATTAGTTATTAAAATATTATAATATATATATATATATAGTATAAGTATTTTTATTCACCACTATATATATTTTTAAAAAAAAAATTTCAAAAACATATTTGTTAAATTATAATAAATGTTTGATCATTTTGCACCTGTTAGTTTCTTATATTTATTTTTATTATTATTATTTTATTATTAACTTTTGTTTGCATTTATTTTAATTAATTAATTAATTTTACAAGTTTTCTAAAATACAGTATATAAAAAAAAATGATAATATTTTTGATTTATTGTTATAATTAAACTTGAAATTTATATATATTTTTTACATTTAAAATAAATAGCTACTTTAATCAAATAATAAAATTTAAATCATAGTATACATATTAATTTTTTTATAAATTTTTTAATCTTATTATTTTAAAATAATTTTTTAATAATTTTTATTTAACTTATATTTAATGTAACTTATTAATTTATTATTATAATACAATTGAATAAAATTAATAGTTTTATTATTATTATTCTTCTTCTTTTTAAAAATATTTATTTATTTATTTTATTTTATTTTGATGGTATATTATATTAAATTTATTAAAAATCAATTGATTAATTTATTATATTAATATTGTATTAGTATTTAAATTTATATTTAAAAATAATAATAATAATATTTTATAATTAAAATTTATGATTTTTAATAAAATAAAATCAATTTTAATATTAAATAATAAATAATATTTTTAATTAAAAATTTTAAATTAAAAAAAACTTTTTTTTATTTTCTCTTTATATGTTTGAAAATTTCTTTTTTAGAAAATTATTGAGTTGTTTACTTTTCACTTTTTCTTTTCTTTTTTTTTATTTCTATTTTTTTATATTTTTATTTCTTTTTTTTAAATTCTTATTTAATATATTTTTTTTATCTCTTTTTTCTTATTCTTTTTTGTTAAAGTTAGTTTTTTTCTTTTTTCTGAAGTTTTTTTTCTTTAGGTTTCTTTTTTCTTTAAGTATTATTTTCTATTTCATCACTTTTTTAATTAATTAACTTTCCTTTTCTAAAAAGTTATTTCAAAAAGTAATAATTTTTTTAAAATTATGAACTTTAAAAATTTTATTCTTTATAATTTTTTTTTAAAAAAAATAAATGATTTATCTTTTCAAAAAATTAATAATATAATTTTGAATTAAATATAATTTCCAATTACTTACTAATTGTTACTTATAATATAAATATAATATAATTTTTGAAAAATATTTAAATTAAATACAAATATATATATAATTATTATTATATCTAATATTATTTACTTGTTAATAACTATATTAAATATATTTAAATAACTAATATATAACTATTGTTATTCAAATTTTTAAGAAATTGTGCTTTATAATATTTAGAGTAAAATAGTAATTAATATTAATATAAAAATTGTAAGGCCTATTAATAAAACTAAAAGACCTTCAAATAAACACTGAAAGGTTTACAAATAAATGAAAACTATTTATAGAAATTAAAAAGATTATAAATAGAAACTGAGAGGCCTGCAAATATTATACTAATGATTAAAAAATCTAGTAAAGTAACATGTAATAATCAGAAATTTGAATTACTTTTGCAAACAGAGTTAATAATAACAATGCAAGTTTTTTATTTATTTTTTAATAATATAGATTTATATATTAGGTTAAATATAAATATCTTTAAAAAATTTTAATACAACTCTATTTATTGAATATCAAATCTTTTATGTAATTTAGAAATCAATTTGTATAAAGTGGCTGCAATGCTTTTATATATAAAGATATTTGATTTTTTTTTATATTTTTACTATCTTTGCTTACTATATATCAAGTTAAATTTAAAAAGCAAATATACAAATTTCAATTATAACTTGGAGACAAACTTGTATATTTGATTGCAACATCTTTATATAATTGGGTATCACACAAACACTTCTAGCTTTTTGCTAAATACTATTTAAAATTTAATATAAAACTTTAATATATTTTTTTTCTGTTACTTGGATAATTAAAAGATTAAGATAAATAGATCAATTTTTTTGAGTTTTATATTAAACTCTTCTTAGTAAAAAAAGATATATGTTAAAAAATTTTTTATTTTTTATATTTTATTCTAAAAACACATATTGTAAGTATAAATATAGTATATAATATTTTGAATTAACACAAACAATTGATTGATTGAACAAGTTTTTTCAAAAATGTAAGTATATACAGTAAACAACTTTTTGATTACTGCATTTTATGTTAAATTATCATTAGCAATGTATAAAATAAGATGACAACAACAATAATATATCATAATTTAATTACGTATGTTTTATTTTTAAAATAATAGAATACAGTATATTGTAAAACCCGTTTTTTTTTCAATAATGTCAATAAATATGATATCTAATCGTTGTAATTGTCATACCGTTGTTAAGTTTCGGTGTTTACAAATATACTTACTATACTGTATATAGTCCCACGCTTACGCTCCGGACTAAATTAATTAATTAAAGCATCATGTATAGATTGTGTTGATTTTTTTACTTGACATACAATATTAACTATGATCACGGTAATATGTCAAAATTATGAACAAATATTTATTAATATATGATGTTTTGTTATTTTCAAAATTTCAAACCTATCGCATATTATGCGATTAAGCGATAATTCCCAATGAACCTTTCATGAGACCCTTGTAACCAAAATATTCTCGCACTTTAAAGAAACCATGCTGCCATTACACATTAAAAATCCTTTTATGATAACATCTCTACTTACCATTGCAGTATCATATCATGTGAATACCGATTGTACTCTTCCAGGAACGGGACAAACAAACAAAAATAAATGAACAATGAAAAAAAACTAATATAAAAGTAGCACATATTATTAATTAATCTAATTTGTATAGCTTCGGATAAAGTGTCTTCATCTCATAAATGACACCCAGATTGGCATGGAACAATGCAAGAGAATATATATTATGGTTGCTATACAGTAGATTAATTTGCCGAACTTGAAGAAAAACCTTTTCTCACATTCAAAAAGAATAACCATAAGGATGGACATACAGTAATATGTAAATCATAAAGACTTTGGGAATTGGGAATAATGTTATTTTTCATGACTCGTGAACACCACGAGGGATATTATTAGTTAATCGCGCGGGCTGGTTCATTAGTTCTAATATTCGGGAAATTGATGAGATAAATCAGTGATTTTTTTAATCTAAAAATACCAGAAAAATCAATATCTTTCGTGAGCATTTCGTTTCTCTCGAGACACAGGCAGATCTTTGCGAATAATGGCTAGGACTATTTTATAAAAAAACAAACGATCCCACTAAACTAATAATGTGTTCATTGAAAAGGCAGACGGAGAGACATTATTTTCGGTGTGCTTGCTCCTTTGCCATAAGTAAGTTGACAAAACCATGTGTATTTTTTGTGCTTGGTTACATGGTGCCATTAGCGTTTCATAGTGCTTATGAGATTATATACCGATCATGAACAGTTTGAAAAGAAAAAAGTAATAAACAAACTCCAATTAAAATATCAATTCAATTGTCAAACCAAATTGATTTAGCGTTCTTTAACGAGCACACGGACTTTGAAGTTAACCCTTAAAGTTAATCACTAAGATGGAATACCGGAACGCACGTACAGGGCTCATGCGTATTAGAACGGACCGTGCCAAATTGTTCACAAAAAACTCTAATCGTTCCAAATAAATTTTAATACGCGAGTATATTCTTTAAATCTTTCCACTTTTGTGCCTTTATTAAATTTGATACATAAATCGTTTTTCGATATAATATGACGTGACAAAAAACGAACATAGCTTACTGAAAAGGAATTCGTCAACACATTTTTTTGAATATAAAACTTTCTGGTAAGACGAAAACCGTTTTTCAGAATCTTCTTCTCATATCAACCATTCTTTTCTTTCCTTTATTTATTTATTTCCTTTCCTTTCCTTTCCTTTCCTTCCTTCCTTCCTTCCTTCCTTTCGATTTTATTCTTTCTCATTCGAAAATTTATAAAATTCCTTCCTTTTCATGTTTCATCCTTAAACACTTTCATTCATTCATTCAAGTGATTTGTTTATTTTATTATAATATTGGTTGAAAAAAATTTTACAACCCTTTTTTACCCTTTTTCATGTCTCTTCCTATCTCTCTTTCTCAACGCATTCATCCTTATTCACAAACACACGCGAATTCAAAATCTTATCAACTCTCTCATTAATGTAAATTTAAATCGTTATTTGACATTCATTCATCTTGTCTTTTTTAAAAAAAACCAAAATCAACTAGTAATTCATCAAACAACAATTATTTTCATTTCATCAATATATCTCTTGAACTTTTTTGAGAGCAAACAAGCTAGAATTCTCAACGCATAATTGACAATGCGATGCATCTTTTTTCATCAATCAACCGAAATTTAATTTTAATTGCATCATTGATTTTATTTTGTAAAATTTCTTCTTATCAATTGGATTTTGTGGGAGCTGTAAAGCTTTCACGTGAATTCCACGATTATGATGATGAAAATTTACGAAATAAATTATTTATTAAAATTGTTAAGAAGGACGCGCAGCTCATAGGGTTCACTGACAACTATAACAATAGTACCGATGGTACAAATTACGTAGCGGTGGTCAACGTTGTGGCAGTGATTTTCGGTAATTTCGACTTGGTCGCCTGTTCTTATGTGGTATGTAATCCATTGACGATTCATATATCCATGGATGGGCACGATTCGATGAAATATTTATACTTTGATCATAGATATATTCGGCATACATAAAGGGTCGAATGCAGTCTCTGTCGATGTCAGATCGTGTTCCGTTGTATCTCAGCTTTTCGGACGTGTGTCAATGTAAGAAATCTTACCATTTGTAATTAATTGTCCTGACAACGATTTTATCATTCATTTTTAATAATCTCAATTTTTCGTTCATTCGTGCCAACAGACATCTTATTCATGCCAAACTTTATTTACTCAATGATAAACAACCATACGATTCCTGGATTTGGTTGCAAAGTGATCGCTTATTTGTTTTTCCTACAGATGAACATGGATTTGATTTTGATGACAAGCATCTCCGTGATCACTTACCTGGTGAGATTAATCGTGCGAAATATCGATTCAGGATAAAAACTAACCGATAATTCATTTTTTGGTGACAGAGGGTTGTAAAACGCTCGAGAATATTATTAGGATCTTACGATTGGTAAACTGAATTTCAATAATATCACATATCATATGACTTCATGCTAATTGCTTACTCCATCATTTTCAGGAAATTCTTTGTTTCGATAACGCTCCTTTCTGTCGCGCTGTCGGCACCTTCGATTGCATCAGTTGGTCCCTCGCGTTATTGGTGTTTGACAAATGTCAGATCCGTGAACGCCTTGTTAATAGACGATTACATTCTATTCATCATAGCTTTTGTGATAACATGTTTCTGTTATATACAAACATTATATACCATATTCAACGTGGATCGTGAAGAGATGACTGATTCTTCGGAACGAATTGATAGGTGGAATAAATTGGAGAGACAAGCAATAAAAAAGATCATGATTTATATTACCTTGTTCATGATGAAGTGGATTCCGTTGATGACCTTTGGTATTGGGATCATGTCAGGCTATGAAGATATTTGGATATTTATTCTTTTTGTTATTTGTAAGTTTTTATGCGAAAAGTTCTTGAGCCTTTCTTCGTAATTATAGTTCGCTTAATCTTGATTTCGTGTTTTTAGCGTTTAACTTGGGAGGGATTTGCAATTGTATACTATACCTTATGAACGGAGACAGTCCCGAACACAATGACTCGGCTCCAGAACAAACCACAAACTCCACCGCGTCACTTTCACAAAAAACCAATACTAACCAATCGGAAGTATGTCAGATCACATTGCCGCCAGAAGCATATATACCCCAAACCCGTGATTCCATGGCGGACAGCGTTATACTGAATTTAGAAGAAAAAGTGTTACAATATCCTAGCGGCAGTAGTGAGCAAAATTATAATTGTTCCATGATCGGTGATGACGAGTCGAGCGGAAGCGACGACGACGAAATTAGAGTTATTGGCGTGGCATGAATATTTCCTTGTACGTTAGAGAATCAAAATAATGAAAATATTGCGATTCTTTAATCTATGGCATTTAGTAGAGTGCGTTTACATCAATATTCCTACTTGAAGATTAACACACCACTATATCCCCGCTTTCGAGTTTATGTCTGCTCTCTAAGCAGCGTGTTCCTCAATAGCAATATTTAATTTGTTATCAAGGTAGTGTAATATTCAATGAACATGTAAATAAAAATTTTAAAGTTCATTCGGCATTACCTTTATATTCTTAAATTTTAAGGCTGCGCTTATTATAATCATAAAGATTTTATTATCATAATGTATAAAGTCAATTAAAGAACAATTGATTAAGGGTCTTGAAAAATGTATGCTAATTCTAAAAAGTTTTGTAATATACTATATTATATATGATATTTTTATGTTTTTATATTATGTATTATAATATTAATAAAAATATTTTTTGGATCGATAAATAAAATTAATATAAAAATCTATTTTTTTTATAATTTGATGCTATATACTGTATATCACATTTACAGTATATATTATATATACAGTGTATTAAAACTTTTTGGAATTTTTTATTTATTCATTATTTAAAAATCATTATATAAAAATTAATAAAAAATATATTAAAATGAAATTGAAAATCTAGAAATTTTATTAATATAAAATTAATAATTAATTCTTTTATCTTTCTTTTCAATTATTTATTTTTTATTGAATTTATAAAATTATTATTTTTTTTTTTAGAGGCAAAGTGCATTACATGCGAACTTTAAAATTTATAAAATTATTTAAAACCTTGTTTGAAATTTTATTTGATTCTTTTATTATAAACTATTTTAATTTTGAAATATTTTTAGATAATTTTAATTTTATACTTTTTTTTAACAATAGTTTAAAGATTTTTAATAAAATTTCAATCTAGACTATTAAAAAATTAATTTGTAATTAAAAAAAATTTTTTTATTAATAAATATTTTTAACAGTTTTACAGTATTTATATTATATATTTTGAATTATTATTATATAAAAATAAAAATTATTTTCAAATTATTTAATAATTTTTAATTATGTTTTTATAAAATAATAATATAAAATTTTGTATTTATAATTTTTTTCTTTTATATAAAATTTTTCCTATACAAAAATTTTGATATAATTTTGATATGGTTTTTTAACTGATCTTATATTTTTATATTATTAAACAATTGTATTTCTAAATAGTTAAAATATTGTTTTATCAAAAAATAATACAAGCTTCTTTATAAGCAATAATAAATATAAAAATTTTTAAAAATAAATTATTTTTATAACTTAAGCTGATTAAATGTTTTGAAATTATTATATAAAATATTTTAATACCCATATTTAATAATTTAATTGTCAAAGTTTTTATAAAAAGTCTTAAATTATAATATAAATATTAATTAATTGTTTTTAATTTATATATTGTAATCTTTTTAAATTAATCTTTATCAAATTTTTTTAAATTATTTTTTTTATAATTTAATTTTTTAAAATTATAGCAAACAATTAATATAGTTAAGACTTGTAAGTCAATAGTATAATAGTTAGTACATTTAAATTCAGATTATAAAATATTGGTTTAACTCTAGATAAAGATAGTTAAATAATATCAATATAATATTTAATATCATAATCTGTTAAGTACTATTTTTTAAAAAAACTGGTTCATATACTAATTCAATAAATATTGAAATTGTAATTCTTTTAAAAAAAATGTAATAATATAACAATTATTTAATTGATAAAAAAAATTTTATATTTGAATATACAAATTAAGCTATATTCTATTTTAACTAATTTTTAACAATTATTTATACCAATAATATATTTAAATATACAAATTGACTATATTTTATATTAATAAATTTTATTTGATATTTTTCAATAGTAACCAAAGTTCTAGTTTGAAATATTATAATTTAATATAAATAAATATTAATTAATTATATTAATTACAAATGATAAAAAAAATTATAACTTGTATAAATATGAAATTGATACAAGTTTGTAATTTGAAATTTAAATAATAAAATGAAAATATATATTTAAATCAATAATTTAAATTATATATATTTTCTTATTACAATATTATAAAAAAAAATTTAATCAACTATATGATTTTAAATTAAATATAATTTTTAATTAATTGTTGTATATTATTTAATAATTCTAACATAATACAGTTTTTGAAAAATGTCTGAATTCAACTTCACTATATATATAATTTAAACCAGTAATAGGATTTCTATATTTTATAGGTTTACTTTGATATTATAAAGAAAATTGTTTAAGACAATAAATTTTTGAATATTAAAAGAAAGATATATATATAATAATCTGTATAGAATATATAAATATATATATTGACTTGTGTCAAATATATATCTATTTTAAAGCAATATTATTTAACAATTATTATATGACATAAGCCAAATTAAAATATCTAATTTGTTATATTGTATTACAATAATATATTTTTTATATTATATTGTAATTTTCAAAAAAGATTATAAATAAAAATTAAGTTTTTAATAAATGTTTAACTTATATATTATATTTTTAATTTAAATAAATATTGATATATATTAATTTGATTATTTATTAAATAGAAATTATTAATAAGAAATTATTGTTTGATATTAATATAAAATTAATAATTTCTATTATTTGTTTAAATTTTTTATTAACTAATAAGCAATTAAATAAATATATTATATTTTTAAAATAGAATCTATATTTTAACAATATAAATAATATCTTAATTTAAATATATTTAATGAAAAAATTTATAAGTAAAAAAAGTTTTTAATAATAATTTAATTTAAAAAACAATTAAATTACTGTATTAATTATTATTTTTTTTATTAAGTGAAGCATTTCTTATAATTTTTATTAATAGAGTAATTAGAGTAAAGTAATATAATTAATATTAAAATATTAAAATACAATACATTGCTATATATATTAATCTACTATCATTCTAAGTATATTTCTAATAAAAAACTTTAGTGTAAGAAAAAAAATAACAATTTAATTTTGGAGACTAATGTTTTTCTAATAATTTATTCTATCTTAAGAAGACATGGATAGATTCTTAAATATTCTTGAATAATATTAAAGAGAATAAGAAATTAAATAGTTAATTCAATTGCAAATAATAGTAAAAAAAAAATAATTTTGGATAAACTAAAATAGGAATTTCTATAATTGCTTTATTTAATAAAATATATATTGCTTCAGTTTATTTTATTTTCTTTTTCTTAATATATTTTTTAAATAAAAAAAAACTTAATTTGATTTTTATACAAGTTAATGAAACTAATTAAAATCTTAATATATTGGCTCTAGTTTTTGTCTTTAAACAAGCTATTAGTAACAAACTAATATGTTTAAATAGTATAGACTAGACTTAAATATAGTTTTATTTATATATATTAAACTTTATATATATACAATAGTGAAATATATTTCACTCATAGGACACTTCTGTTACACTTGAAGCATAGGTATGCCAAATTTTTTTTGTGACTTGGAGGTAAACCTGTATAAAGTGACTGCAGTACCTTCATGCAAAAAGGTACTCACTTCTTACTACCTCTAATACTACTCCACTTGCTGTACATCAAGCTATATTTGGAAAGCAGATATGTCAATCCTAATTATGACTTGGAGGTCAACTTGTATAGATTGGTTGCAGCACCTTCATATTATTAGGTATTCATTTATTTCTAGATAGCTAGATGCCATTTAAGACAATAATATAGATTTTTGAATTTCCTTTTTTCTATATTTCTTAAATGATGCTAAAAGAACACAGGGGTTTGGCCTTGTATAAGAGCCTTGCATTAAACTCTTCCTAGCTAAAAGAGATATATATCATGCTATTGGATATTGTACCTTGCTTTGCAAGTGAAAATATAAAAATATAATAAAATATAATAGTCATTTGCTCTTTTCAAAAAAAAAAAAATAGTGAAATATATAAAATATCAAATATTAATAAAACAAGATTTAATTAATATTCAAAAATAAAAATAAAATAAAATAAAAAATATTTACTTATAATTAAAGTTTATATTATATATATTATTAAAATTTATAAATTCTTAATAATTAATTAAATTACTATTGAAATATATAAATAATTAAATTATAACAAAATTATTTTTAAGAATTTGAAATTGAATTAATGACAAAATATTTTATATTGCATGTATAGTTTATATTATATAAATTTATTAATTTGCTAAATTATTTATTTTTTTGCATCCAAATGATTAATAAATAAATTATATTAAATAAATTATTTTTTACTAGATATATAACCAATTTTATTTGAATATAAAATATTTTATTATTTTCAATTAAAACAAATAACAAAAAAG